GGGAACTCAAACGAGTCACAAGAATGTTGTGCCACCACTGCGCAGATGGGATGTGTCTGTAGCAATAAATTTAAAGCATGTGAGACCTCTTTCCATCCCAGCAGGTGAAGTGGTATGGACTGGCTCATACACTGACCGCAGCTCCCTCAAAACCTGCCTATGACCATCCCACTGAGTGCTCTGCCATGGGTTCTTCCTGGGATACAACTGATGCCCCACTGGCATTATGAGACAGTGATTTATTCTGCATTATCCAGTTCCAAGTGGTGTTCCTGTAGCACGGTGCTGAGTGTGGCAGGCCATAAATGCATGGAGCCCAATGGGGTGGCACATCAGAGCTAAGGGAAATCTGGGGAAATGCTGGCTCATATCTGGGGCACGCTGAGACAAGTCATCCCAAGCTTGTGCTGTGTAGTGTGGGCACCCTCAGTGATTCCATGCCACTTTAAATACCACCATGTGGGGTCATCCAGAAGGAAAGACAACACTATCAAAAATAAAAATCAACCCGACATCCAAAGAGAAGAAGCCTGACTGAAGCACCAAGGTTTGAGATGATCTTGAGCCAGGTTTCGTTTTGCTTTTCCCTCTCTCTCAGAACATGAGAGTAGCTTAATTTAAAAACACATATAAAACTAAACAGTTTTTGTTCTTGGTTATATCTTCTTAATTCTTCTGGCCAGGCTTGTCGTATCACTGCTTAGTCTTATCCAACAAGAACTGAATTTAGATGTTTCTCATTTTCCAGTTTTCCTTTTCAATCTCCTCTGCCTTTGAGTGGTCAGGTAACATCACGGTTCTCTCCTACTCAGAAAGACTCAGTTTATCCAAAAACTTTTTTCTGTGTACAATGCTTGCCATAGCACCCTGTTGTCACTGACAACACAATACTGCAAAGGTGTGCAACCACTTACCGTATATTAACAGATCCCAGAAGAAATTATTTTCCTGTTTGCATACAATGTGTGTCTTGCCCTCTGACCTCTGTATTGCATCAGAGCTGCCAGTGAAATGTGGAGCAAACTGTGTGTTATGAGGTTCACAGTCCGGCCACGTCACTGCACGAATGGCATTCCCAGACAGATCATCCTCTTCAAAATGTAAAATTGAAAACAACGATCTGTTTTAAATCTCTTAAAATATATGGATATTGAAGATCTCGAGGGAAATATTAAAAACTAATTTTCAGCACTGAAAGCAATGTTTCCTGCCTGACCTCAAAGCAATATGAATGGAGCAGGAAGTTACTCTGAGATGATCTACCAAGGCTATCTTTACACGAGGCTTCTTTACTTAACCTGAGCCACTCCGGTTTCCAATCCCATAAAACTACTTTTTGTGTTGGAAAGCTGTGCAGAATTTCATAGAATTGTAAAATCGTGGAATGGCCTGGGTTGAAAAGGACCACAATGATCATCTAGTTTCAACCCCAGTTTAATTAGTCTAAGGCACTACCTATCCCAGCTTACTTTGCTGGATTAAATGCAGCCAAGTATGATAAAAAGAGCAAATCCCAAGTATTTATCTCAAACTTCAAACCTCATCCTCAGTGAAAAGGGGTCTAAGTAGCTCTGCTAGACTTGTGAGAATCTACAACCCGATTATTCAAATACCTTTCCCTAGAATATATATATCTATATAGAAATCCACAAAATAAATGCTGTGTCAGACAGTAATATTAATATTGTATCTTTAAATTAAATGATAACTGTCTCTACTGACCTAACAAGACAATGATGTCATATGTGGTTTTGTGTAACTACCAACATTGCCTCTTTGCCAGAACCTGGCTGTGCCCTGGGTTTTTGATACATTAAGGGAAGGGGTGTGAAAGGTACTCTCATAGGACCAGTACATTACATGACTGGGTGCTCCTGAAGTAGGTGCTCCTAAAGTGTAGATGGAAAACCAGGAAGCTGCTGTATGTCCTGGCAGAAGAAGTCCGTGTGCGTCCCTCTCCAAAGCAGATGCCTGCGTGTTCAGATGCACCTGCTCTGTGGAGTGTGGGGGACAGGCAGAAGCCAGGGATAGATATCAGCTCCCCAGAATAGAAGTCAGAAAGGCAGAAATAGACCCCCTTTCCCTACAGGGCCTGATGCATCACATGCACTGTATCATGTCTTGTGTGCTAGGGAGAGACTTTCTCAGTTTCTTCATGGAGAATTTCATCTCAACAACTCACCTGCAAGAACTCTTTCTGAGTAGATAAAATAATTCACTGGAAGGGAAAATGTCATAGTTGTACTCTGGACTTGCCAAGAGAAGTTTCACTGTTCAGACTGACATCTGGAGGGTCGAAGTTGCTGAGCTACTGCTTTGTACCTGAGGCTGAGAGCACATTTACAGATGGTGTTGAGCAGCTGCTCAGCCAGACCAAGGAGTTCTTTCCTAGCCACACAATAAATACATATTTTTAGCAGCAACAAAAATAGATTTCAACGCATGTCTTTTAAAAACAGATTGCATTTCACATCCCTCTTTGATATTTAACAGGGATAAAAAGTACTGAGCTTATACTCTTTGTATGGGATCCCTAAATGCTGTGAGCACATCTGTCAGTGGAGAATTGCACAACAAAATTCAGGTTTTAAATAAACGTAACTCAGAAATATCATTAACCAAGGGAGATTTTTTTTGGCACTGGGATCTTCTGGACAATAACAGTGCTGCAAACTCAGCTGAACATGGAAGTAATTAATTCTAGGTATGAATTTTTTCCTCTCCTTCCCTTTGGGCTGTCAAATTCACCTTCAGATCATTCTGTAAGCTCATTGCCCCTTTGACTAGGTACTAAGGGAGGATCAAGATGTAAATGCTGCTGGCTGGAAGGCAGGCACTCTTGATCTGTTGTTATCATAGAATCATTTGATTTGGAAGGAATTCTTAAAGACCACCTGGTCCAGTTCCCCTGCAACTAACAGGGACACCTACAACTAGATCAGGTGCTCAGAGCCCCGTCCAGCCTGACCTTGAGTGGGCAACCTGTTCCAGTGTTATTTGCAGGACTTGTGTTAATCGGGGTGATGGAGATGTGGGAACTGGGTCTGCAGACACAGTCCTGTACTGAAAACCAGAGGAACTACTGCAAAGTTTGGAGCAGCATGGAAAGCTGGAAACGGGCAGAATCTTCTAGTGTTTCACTGAGTCGTCTATTTATTCTTAATCTGTCTCTTTGAAATCCATGTAGGAAGACACTACCTTAGGAGAAAGACATCCCTACAGTAATAAAAGAAGATGCAGGAGTTGTCTTCAAAGCTAGCCTTTCAGCTGTGCTTTGGATTATAGGTGGGCTCAGTTTAAACTATGGCTTCAGAATAGCAGGACAAGATTGAAGACTGTGCAATGCAGAGTAAAACTAACTGTCATGGAAGTGCCTGTGAAATTGGAGGCAGGGTAAACACATCAGTTCAAAGTTGCACCACAGAGAAAGACTTGCCAAGAGACCCGCTGGCCTGGAGTCATGCTGTGAGGGTATACCAGGTCACTCAGTGTTCAGCCAAAGATTTCTACATCACACTCTGGTATGCACTTGCCTTAAGCTGCCTCATCCACCTAGGCCCTGGGAGCCAGCTTGGAAGAGAAGAAGAGAACAAGATGTGCCTTTCTTGCCCCATGGAGGAAGTGCAAAGGGACGAACTTGCTTCTCAGATACCCTCTCTTCAACACATGGTTGCTACATTTCATTCCCTTAGGCCAATGAAATGTACTGGCAGGTGGGAAGGTTTCTCACTCTTACCTGAAAGGATAAGGACTGAGCTTTTGTATCTCACTCCAAGTGAGATGTCCAGGTGTATTGCCACTCTCTTGTGACACAGGCCTCATAGTGTCCTAATGGGTAGATTTTACTTGCAATCAAATAGAACCAGTAAAAACAGAGGGAGATACAGATAAATGTTGCATGGAAAGGGATCTTCCTAATAGACCAGGAGACCCTCCTGAAGCAGGACCTCTCAGAATCTTCCTTGGCCTACTTGGTCTTGGCCTTCCTTGGTCTACTTAACATCTGTGCATACACAAACATCTGTTTATGCACAGAAAGATGACTGTATATAGTTGCTCTGAAAGTAATGCCTCATATTTATTTCCAAGGGAACTGCAATAGATGCAAAGAGCACAATAACAGTAATTGATAGAGCAAATCCTCAGCTACAAAACACTGCTTTTCAACACAGTCACTACTGTTAGCCAATTCATGTGGATGAGCTAATCAATAAGCTCTTAACTTCTTGGTATGACAGCTGTGCATGGCTGTCTAGAGCACGACTTGTCTTTCACGTTACTGTCACCACTGCTGAATCCCACCACTCACTCCTGATTGTGCTCACATCCACCAGTTGGTGTCCATAAACATTCACAAGTGTCGATGAATATCAGTGCGTGCCTTTATTTTTGGCATGGAGGAATTCAATAACACACCTTTGCTTCAAATGCAATCCCATGTCAAACATCATTCTGTCAGACTGTCCCTCTGCTGCCATCTTTCCCATGGCAACAGAATGTAATGGGGTATTTGTGGGAAGGTTCAACTCCTATTGCCATACCACCAATATCGTGGACCAATATAATAACGGAGGAGGGCATTACTTCCAGAGCAGCCCTCATATATAGAGATATATACATATAAGCATGCATATGTGTATATATACGACTGAGTGCATTTTTGTCTGTGCATGTGTAATTTATTACGTCCTGCTATATTTTTGACAGTTGTTATGACATCTATAATTTGTGGTCTGAGGAGGCAGAGCCATGAAATGCGGTGAGCCAAACTGGTTCAGATGTCTTCACTGAAAAATAGGGGTTTGATTTAAAAGAAATTTTTCTCCTAAAAAAAATAATCTTATGATAAAAAGAAATCTATCCTTTTTTAGCTTTTAAATTTTCAAATTGCAAGGGCAAAACATACTTTTTTCACACTCTCTTTCTCTCTTTTATATTTTTTTTTGAAGCACTGGCCAAAGGCAGAAAAAAGAAGCAAAAACTAAGAAGCAGATGCAGGGTTGGGTCTTGGTTATTTTATTTCTCCACTTTCTTCTTTTATATTCCTAAATGAAAAATAGGAGGTGATATTTTAGGCTTAACAGAAAGCTGGCATGCTGGTTTGTTTTCTTACCATCAGAATGATATCATGTTTTCCTAAACAAAAATAATGCATGAAAAATTTCCAACAAAAGAAAACTATCCATTTTTTTCCATTAAATGAATGTTTACCGAGCAGTGTTGTTGTGAGTACTCCCTTCTCTGGCTACCAAGAAAGATGCCAAAGGAAGCCCTTGGATGAGCAGGACAGCTGGGCTCAGGATGAGCAGCATAGCTCCTGGCACCCAAGCATTGGTATCCATTGAGGCGTCCAAGGGACTTGCGGTCGAGAAAAGAAGTGATGGTGCCTTTTCCCATCATCTGCTCAGGTCTTTGTGCCATGTATAAGCGCCTTCCAAAGGAGAGAAAGGGAAAAATTATGAGTATCTAGCAGCACAATCCTTGGAATAAAAAAACATGAACATCTGTTGCTTCTGGAGGCAAAGATATCACTAGGACGTGCTGAAAGCTGCAACATTTGCAGTCATTCTGAGCAGCATTTAACATTTTGGGGTACCCCAAGAAAAACCCAGTTCCTCCACAGCAATGATCCCAGCTACAACAGGAAAGACACTCATCTCCTGCAAGGCTTCAGCATGATTCGGTAATGGAAGACTTATTTAGATATGAAGCAATCCTTTAAAATTCCTGAAACCAATCATAATACAAATAAGAATACAAATATGCCTTTAAGAAATATATGTACATATATCCCCAAGAGAACAAATCTTCGCCATGTATGAGTCCCCTCTCTCATCAAATACAGGTATTTCATTTCTTTCAAACTAATCTCTATGTATTTGAAAGCAGAGGTAGGTAAGCTCATCCTACCTAAGTCTCCTTCATCCCATTGCCGAACATTGCCTTTCTGGTTTAATATTTGTGTATCAGTAACGTACTAAGCACTCCTGTGTTGGGCATAATAAAATATTTATCCACCAAAACCACAGAGCCCAGATTAATAACTCGAGAGAAGTAAAGCCAGATTGCTGAGATGGTAGGTGGGAGAAAAGAAAATGTGCAGGAACTACGTGCACTGAAGCTTCAGACTTTCTTTAAACTAAGTTTGTTCTCCTGAATAAAGTTACGGAAGGATAAAAACATTTTGTTCATTAAAATTGATTTACAAAACCCTTTGTTCTGTTTTGCTTAACTATAAAAGTTTATTCTCTTTGAAAGAAAAAGTTCTGTAGGAGAACAGAGTCATATTCATATCCTCTCGTTTCAATACCTAATTCATCTTCTGTTCCATTTTCACATCTAGGAAATTAAAGTACAAGAGACCAGAAAGAAAATGACATTCACAGAAAAGGATACCCTTGCATTCCTGGTCAAGAGAAAAAGGAGACAAACTAATTACTGAATTACAATGAGGCTTTTACCACCCTCTGAATCTCTTGAAGGAATAAAAAATACTCTCCCAAATCAGAGCTGAGATATCGAGCAATCAGCCAGCTTTGTTCAGGCACAACAAGGGCAGATGAAAGTATAATGTATAAATTCTTTCAAGTGAGGAAAAACATGACTCTTTCTCCTAGGGGGAGAAATCAAATGATTATGATTTTGTTTTTAATTTGGCTCCTTCAATGGGCACATTTGTTTATGTGCAGAGTATAACCATTCTTACGGACTTTTCAGTCCATGCTCTCTGAAGTCCACGATGAGGCATTGGTATCCATGATCAGTCAGCAGAGAGGACACATACTCCAGGTGTCCTTCATGAACTACACTACCCATACCCATTCCCATGCAGCTTTGAGCGGGTCACAGCAGTGGTGACCGTCCAAAGTGTAGAAATGTGCTATGGTATGGTATGGATATGTCTGACATTTGCATTCAGTAGCTGATCTAATATGGGCTTTGGAGGGAAATAGGTTCCTTCTCTGTTTTCATAGTTTGCTTATTCTACAAGAGCTATTCAAACCAATTCTTTCTCCATGAAGCTGTGCGATTTCACAGCATTGAACAGAATCTGAGAGTTTTCTTCCTGGGAACCTTGTCATGACAATCTCTGTAATGAAAAAGTAATGACTTTGCAACGGGCTTATTAGAAAGGAAAAAAAAAAAAAAAAGAAAAAAAAAAGATTGAGAGAGAGAGAGAGAGAGACTTTTGGAGATTAAATAAAATCTGGGCCCTTATCCAGGTAGAGATCTTAGCCTGGCATTCCAGCTACATTCTTTCTGTTATTAAAATAATTTAGGAAACCAGGCAGCCTGCTCTGCATTCAATCATGTTAGCCCACGCTGTGTCAATTTGAATTCTGCCTGTGGTGATAACAGTTGAAAATCTGATGGGCCAGATCCTGAACGGCCAGATCGGCATTGCTCCATTACGATCAGTGGGGTTTTGCCAATTTGCCCTTGTTAAAGATCTGGTCCTCTACTTCTAGGCAGGCATTTTTCCAGAGAGCAAAGCAGTCTCCTATCTCTTTGGCAAAAAAGAAAATAAGGGAACAATTCAGTGATACTTTGGAAAGTTACATGACCATAACAGTGCAAATTAAAAATTATGTGATTGGCTCATTTCCAGAACACTTGAAACTTGACTGGAACCATGTAACTATACATCTTCAAATGTAATCAATAGATAAAATATAATACAATAATGCACTGTAGATGCCATCAGCTTCCAAAATGAAAATGACTATTTTTCCATTTCAGTTCAATCAGATGACAACTGGGCAGCTTATCGTAGAATCACAGAGTCATTTAGGCTGGAAAAGATATCTAAGATCATCTAGTCCAACCATCAGCCCATCCCCACCATGCCCATTAACCATGTTCCTCAGTGCCACATCTCCACTTTGCTTGAACACCTCCAGGGACAGTGACTCACCCACCTTCCTGGGCAGCCTGTGCCAGTGCATTACCACAATTTCTGAGAAATAATTTTTTCTAATAGACAAACTGAACCTCCCCCAGCACGATTTAAAGCAATTATCTCTTGTTCCATCACTGATGCCTGGGAGAAGAGGACAACCCCCACCTTGTTACAACTTCCTTTCAAGTAATTGTAATTTTAGGTGCATCCTGCGCTCCACCACAATCCACGCAAGAGAATGGGGCAGCTCAGTCCCTTCCACATCCATGTTAGGACCTTAGATAATTCTGCACCTGAGCAGCATTTCTCCTAACCTTCCTTGAGATCACAGGATCAAGTCTACAAGATGATCCTACAATAGTCATTACCTGGAGAACTACTTAACAGAACAGTAGTGAGGGTCACACAGCTTCTCTCAAGAGGTGAAACCTGGAAAACTGACATGGCTCTGCTCTATGGCCTAAAACCTTTATGTCTCGTTGCCATCTGACACTACAGGAAAGAAAGGGAAAAAGAAAGAAAGGAAGTTTGGGGAGAGGTATTTTCTACTGAAAGATGACAGGTATTTTTTATTTGGAAAAAGGGAAAGAAAAGGAAAAAAAAGGTGTTTTCCACAAGAACTGTTCTCAAAAGATTTGATATAGTTATAGCTGTTGCACAGAAGGAACAAGACATCCACAGGGGACTTGTTACCTAAATAAAGATCTAACATCCTCCTGAAGAACTTGAACTCAAAAATCATAGTTACATTAGCAAGGAAAAGGGACCAGGATCAATTTCTTGGAGCACAAAGAGTAGGACTTCATTACTGAAAAGGCACAGCTTGATCTTAGGACCTGCATGCTGGAGAGATCCTCATGGGAAGCATCTCCTCCAGTGGCATCTCACATACCCTTAGTCCATGTGGATAGCAGGGCTGGCAGGAAGACCATGTAGCAAGGTCATCCATGAACCCAGGGACAGGCTGAGCACTGCTCTCAACTAGCAGCAGCTACAGATGCAAGCAGCAAACTAACTGGTCTGGTCAGAGATTTAGATTAGATTTAAGGAAAACTTTTTCTCTCAGAGAGTGGTCAGGCACTGGAATGGCTGCCCAGGGAGGTGGTGGAGTCGCTGTCCCTGGCAGTGTTCAAGAGGCATCTGGATGAGGAGCTGCGAGAGATGGTTTAGTGCTTGTGGTGGCAATGGTGATGGGAGGATGGTTGGACTAGATGATCTAACTGATCATTTCCAACCTTGTGATTCTATGACTATATGAGCAAATACGATTTTTCAGGTGACAAAATGGATCATTACACCTGCTTTTCCCTTACCCTTTCCATACATGTCTTTGCACAAATGATTTGGCTCACAGAAACTAACCTGAGACAACACTGTCTATTAGGCTATTCCTCATTCTTTAGCTGAGATGATCTTTCAGTTTCTCTTCTTGATTTGAGGGACTTTCTATTTCACCTAATTTTTGAAGCAAAGCCCCACTAATGACATCTCAATGCATCCACTGCAATGAGCTCTAAGACACAGGAAATCAGAACTGCATTCTCTTAAGCATCTCAGGAGACTCCAATGATTATATTGAAATGTTAATCACAAGCTCCTTAAGTTACAATCACAAAGGAGTCACTGTACGAGATAATTTCACAATATGAAACTCTTCTGTAAATTTATGTCAGGTAGCAGTTTGCTGCCTGGGAACTGTAAATCAGTTATTAATGAGCCAAATGGTTAACATCAAACCTAATATCTATATGCAAGGAAGAGCCAAAAAGCTCTCACAGGCATACAAAGTTCTAGATGTACTAGTCTGAACAACTTTATTCCCTGCGTCCTGGCTTGAGAGCCAACATCTGTCGGAAGTGCCACTGAAGAATATTGCTCTACAGCAATACTTCCACCTGATCCATGCAGTCTTGTAGTCCTTTGGAATTGATGAGACATAGTTTCATAACTGAAAAACTCTTCTAAAAAGACTGACACACTGTAATGCAAACTCAGTAATCAGAGACTAGGTTTTTTGGTTCAGATGGATATAGATCTATCCGAGGCAAAAAAGACAGTCAGCTACTAAACAAACAGCCAAAGTCTACAGCCTCCACTAGAGCTGTGCAGCTCCTCAGCAGCTCAGAGCTCAACATCTACCCCATGACCTGAGACTGTCCTCTGACTTACAGGAACATTCCTTGAATATACGGTAGCACAAAACAAAAATCTTGGCTTTTAGTAGTTTCTAGATACCAGGATTCTACCTGAGCTTAAGCATATTGTTAGCTGTGCTCCATTGTGTTGCTTTCTTTTTTTTTTTTTCTAATATATATATATTTTTTAAAATCTGTTACTATTGTTTAAGGCTGCAAAAGGTGATGAGTAATACAGTGGATTCTGGTGATGAATTTGCAGTGCAGAAAGCGAATATTTAGATTTGAAATCCTAGCTCATTATTGAAATTAATTCTGAATGCCTGCGACTCTTTGCTAATGCCTTCATAGAAAACTACATCGTTTGCATCACTATGAGATTGCCCAATTCCTTCA